CAAAAATCATCACTCGAGTTTTTTATTGGCATTACGACAAATGGGCCTCTTTGACGACGAAACACTTTTTGCGACCATCCAGCAGCAACGAAGCCGAATGAAGAAGCATATGTAATCACCAAGTCATCACATAAACCAAGCAACTTCATATCGATAAGAGCGCCTACTTCCGAACCAGTGTTCGAATTAAAAGGATTTTGTGCATCCATATCATCATCAGTATGAACTATCTTAATAGAATTGTTATTATAAGGAATTATTTTGCTAAGTAAATTTACTAATTTTTTACGACCATCATTACTATCTGCAGCCACAAAGACAGTTATATTCTTGTTTTTCACTTCTAACATCAACATTTTCACTACCTCAATGTAATGATCCACAGCTGTTATAAATCCATCTGCTTTCTTTTTCTGTCTTAAATGAATTCCTATATTATAATCATTAAACTTATTATCCGCAAAAGTCTCTACTTGTTTACTAATATTTGGGTGCAATCTTAATAATTTTAGGCTGATTACTGTAAAAACTTTATAATCAGGTATTACTTTATTAAACCATTCCTTATAATGAGGATTTGATATTATTGGAGCACATACATAATCCCATGTGTAAACATATAAAATATCAGTTTTATCGTTGCTAAGGTTTCCTCTCGCCACCAACGGAAAGTCATTATAGCTATTGTCCTGATGTAAATGTCTAGAGGTACTGTTTTTATACAAATCTGCAACAAATTTCCAATCGTGTTCAAAGTCTTTCTCATAATAACTTGAGAAATTATCATATCCATCAATAAATAATAGCCTATCAGATATTAGTGAATATATAAAAGCACAAACCATTGAAGGTATGCGGTTTCCGAATCCTTGCGTCAAGTCTGGTTTGACAACGACAACTTTCGGAAGTTTTGATGAATTAGGTTTGGCTAATAGCTTGGAAACTATTCTATTATGTTTCTTAACATATTTATCATATATTAGGTCAAATTCTAAATAGTTCACATCCGTATATTTCTTCACTGGATCCTCTACATTTGTACGATTTGTCGCATTTTCTGCATTCGTGCGATTTGCCGTATTCTCTGCAATCGTGTGATTCGTTTCTACCTTCGTGTGATTCGTCGTATTCTTTACATTCTCTACATTCGTGTGTTTCGTCGTATTCTTTACATTCTCTACATTCGTGTGATTCGTCGTATTCTTTACATTCGTGTGATTCGTCGTATTCTTTACATTCTCTACATTCGTGTGATTCGTTGTATTCTTTACATTCTCTACATTCGTGTGATTCGTTGTATTCTTTACATTCTCTACATTCGTGTGATTCGTTGTATT